TGAGGAAAGGGGTTCAAGTTCTGTTTATCTACATTGTCAGACTGTTCATATCTATCTATTGCCAAACTGTTCAGTGTTCATCTATCTATCTGTATTTTTATCTATCTATTATTGTCACACCTTATCTTGTATGATTTGTCTCTATAAATAAATAGCTATTTTTTCTACTCGTTTGTTGTAACTAAACGTGAGGTCTACTTCCTGTGTGGATGATGTTTTAGTTTTATTGCTTCTGAGGAGAGCCATGATCGATCACGTCCTGATGGGACACGGTGCAGAGAAAGAGGCATCTTACCTATGTCCATTCAGCCTCGTGTCAGACTCAGCTAAATTTATCATATACATACATAGGCATTAAGTGTGCAAATTTTACAGAGGTAAACATATGTAAGCATTTGCCTGTTTTTTTTTTTTTGTTTTTTTTTTGTTGTTATTGTTTTTGTGACGTTGTGTGTGTTTGTGTGTGTGTGTGTTTTTCGCCCTTTTTTTCGATGAAAGGTTTTATTCGTTAACGCTGTGTACACCATTGGCTATTTTTACAAAACTGTTATATATATAGAATAATGAATGTCCCTCTGTTCACTGCTCGGATTATTAACAGTACATGAGGTTGTCACGCTAATTTTAGCACTACTAGGCACAGTTACAAAACTTGGACAATGAATGTATATATAAGTAAGTCTCTAAAAGCCTACTATATATATATATTTTTTTTTTTAAATTCATTAAAATACCAGTGATCATCATCTGTTACATTTGAGTGCAAGATATTTTAAATTTCTATCATGTTCCTCTCATATTGATAATGTGTGGCAATACGCACAAGAAGTGAGTGTGATTTTCCATGGCAAAAAGAAAAAATTAAATAATTTAAAATAAAAGTGTCTGCTTTTGGGGTTTTGTTAAGTCAATGTTTTGGTGAGGGTGTATCATGTGCGTGAGTGTGTATGTGTGCTTATCGTATCTAGCTGTTGTATGTATCTGAGTGCCACTCCGAAAAATAAATAAATAAAATAAAAATAAAAAATAAATAAAAATAAAAAGGAGGGGTTTAGTCGTTCCGAACCGGCAACAGGAGGCAGTAGTAGCAGGAGGAGTAGGAGGAGTAGGAAGAAGAACTAGAGGAGGAGAAGGAGGAGCATAGTAAGCACTTTGCAGAACATCAAACGTATTACCGTCAAAACTATCACAATTCTCTTCATCATCTTCTTCTTTTATCGTTAGCATCACTACTGCCGTCGTCATCATCATGACTATATCGTCACATATCGGAAGAAAAAAAAGTAAAAGAAAAAAATGGGAAACTACGAGAGGAATAGGGGGTAGTAAAAAAAAAAAAAAAAAAAAGTGTGGGTATGTTGGTGGAGAGAGAACATAAAAGCGGGGTTGGGGAGAATGGGGGTAGGTGTTCAAAAATTTCCCCCTCCCCTTTTGAAATAGGTCCGCCCATTGAAAAATAAATGTATCTATTATTATTATTATTTTGATTTCTTCATCTTCATACATTTTTCTATAAGCTTGTTTGATTGGAGAATTCATCAGATATATAAAGAGCGTATTGATATATAGATATGTGTGTATGTGTGTGTGAAGAGATGATAATCATATGCGAATACAATTTCATGAAAAAAAAAAGAGTGCATGAGAGAGAGGGGGAAGGAAGAGAGAAAAAAAAAACAAGAAATAAAATAAAAATATATGCCGTTGTTTCTAAATCTAAGAAAGTGGGGGAGAATTTTATCTATAATATCCAGTGCGCGCGTGTGTGTACTTATACGCATACATTTATTTCACCATTATTATTATTATTGTTATTTTATTATTATTATTATTTATCAAGTTTTAAAAAGAAGTTGAGACCATAACGTTGATGAGTCATTATATTACATTGGCTATTTCTCAAACTTGAATTGTCGGAAGAGTGTGAATGTAACTGGAGTTCGCCAGTTAATAATTCTACAGTACTAGTCGAGAAGAAAAAAAGGGGGGGATTTAAAAAAAAAACAACAAAAAAAACGAAAAAGGCAAGAAAAAATAGATGGACTTTTTTTTCTTGATTTATGTCAATCAGATGACTTAGTAATTGTGCGATAAGTGTGTGTGTGTCTCTCTCGCTACTTGTTATGGTCGCGTAGATATTTTTTAAACACACCGAATATACGCACTTCTCCTATCTTATTTTTAATCGGAAGGAACAAAACATTCCACTTACTTTTAAATACGTCGGTAAAACGGACGGCAAAGACGATAATCGAAGAAAAAGATTTCTCTAAGCGTACCTACGATGTACTCAACTGTATTGTACGCGTGAAGAAAATGGATATTTTAACTACATTACAAGTAACAGCCATCGTCTTATTGTAGTCTTACTAAAAAAAAAAGAAAAAAACAACTACAGTTTTTTGTTTGATTACCAAACCAACTCTGCTGATTGTGTACAGTACACATACATACATACGTGTATGTATGTTCAATTGTGTTCTTTTTAATACTATTGCAGATTGCTAGTACTATTTTTATTAGCAATTCAATAATAGTATTTTATATTATTTTCCGACCAATAACGTGTACTTTTGTAAGTGTATTACAGAAGTCACTGCGACTATAGTTTTTACTGATTATTACCCGAGCAAGTGTGCGTGTGTGTGTGCGTCCTCAATCCAATGTTTCTTATCAAGTCAACTTGAAAAATCGTTTTTATTTTGATCTATATTTTACAAAAAAAAAAAAAAGCAGGCAAAGAAGCTGTATGGTTAAAAGAGGAAACGATTTTTTAAAATCAATTATTGGAAGAAAAAAAGAGGAAAAACAGGGACATTTTTACACACACATAAATAGAAATAAAAAACGTACAAGGGAAGCGTTCATTCATTCAAACATTGAATGAAGTATATTAAAGAAAAACAAAAAGAGAAAGAAAGAAAAAAAAGAAGGACGCATTATTTTATCTTTTCATTCGTCAAAAAAGAAAGAAAGCAAAGCAGACCGATTTTCGTTGGATATATGACTATTTTTGTCATTTTAAAAAGGAAATAGAATTTTTGAAGGATAAGGAAGGTGATAGTTTTACTTTCACTACATCCAGGTAAAAAAGAAAGAAAGGAAAAAAAAAGAAAAGAAAAAAAAAAACAAAAGAGGCTCAAATTAAGACCTCAAAAAAATCACAAAAGTAAAAAAAAAAAAGGATTAAAAAAAGGAATTGAATGAAAAACAAATCACACATCCGGTAATCAAAGAAAGAAAAATGATTTGATGCTGTTATGCAAATGGTTAGTTTATTTGTTGTTTTTATTATTATTATTATTATTATTATTATTATTATTATCAAATTTGTGTTTTGTTGTAAATTATATTTTTTCAAATTTGGTCGCTGAGATTGCTATACATCGTAACATTATTTAAAAAAAAAAAAAACTAGTTTTAATTAAATGAAAAATTTAAACAATTACTAACGACTAAATAAAAAAATTCACGTTGACAAATTTTAATGACAGAAGATCGATTCAGAAAATCTCTACTTGTCTATAGTGAATTTTGTACTGAGTTCTATGATGATCAAAGACATCCATCCGATCAGATGCATTGGATTTTTTTTTTTTTTTTTTTTTCACTTAAAAAATATTGAAGCCTTTATTGTTTAATTGTATATTTCTTGCTATTATTATGAAAATAGTGGGGGGACTTTCTAAATTATATTCTTTTATATTAACTTTGAAGAGAGAGAAAGATAAAAGTTATCGAAAAGGGCGTGTTTGTAATATGAAGCATGCGAAAACGAAAAAAAAAAAAAAAAAGAAAGAAACTATCAATAGAAATGGAAGAGAGAAAGAAAGAAAGAGCAAGAATCGGGCTAAACGAATATAAAAGTATCCGGCTGGACAGCAGTGGACAAGCTTCCTAAGAGAAGAAATTAATATTTGTAAAAAAAAAGTGCGTTTTTTTCTTTTTTTTTTTATACACATATCTTGAGAAGAGAGATATTATCCTTTGTTTTTTTTATTTTGTGATGTAAAGGAATTATTTATAAACATCTTAAGCTCGTTTGAAAGAGAATGAAACAGGATTTTCAAACTATAGTACAGACACGCACACATACACGTATATTATTAAATCTCAAACTAAAAAAATAAATAAAATAAATTATATATGCATACATTCATCATGTGTTTGTAGGCTCTAGTGTATAAAGATTGGTCACAGCTGTGTGTATATTCTTCTGTCTTTAGTTAAAATAAATACACGTGTGTACGCTACTCTAGTGCTTTTGTGGCTTCTTCTTGAAAAAAAAACAAAAAAACAATTCTGCTGTCATAAATGCTGACAACTAACAATCATTTCATCTTTGTTCTTTCTTGAATTCTTTCGTCCGAATCATCATAATTCTCTTTTTAAAATAATTAGCAATGAGTAGTTTATTTTTTGTTTTGTTTTTGTTTTTTGTTTGTTTTTGTTTTTTGTTTGTTTGTTTTTTATAATTTTATAATTCTTCTACATCTGTATGGCCAGATTAGTCGCACTTTTTTGTCGTATTGAATGTAATCACAACGACGCCGCCTTTTTTTTATTTTTTTTTTTTTTTACTTATATCTTTCCTTTTCCGTCATGTGGCATTTCCAGTTGTATGCAGATTGTGGAGTCGAGTCCTATTTTTAACAATGTCGACCCAGAATCTGTCTATCTACCTTATTCAGTTCTTATCTATCTATCTATCTATCTATCTATCTACCTCATTCAGTTCTTATCTAATTCTGTTCTTATCTATCTATCTATCTATCTCATTCTGTTCTTCTATCTAATTCTGTTCTTATCTATCTATCTATCTATCTATCTCATTCTGTTCTTATCTATCTATCTATCTATCTCATTCTGTTCTTCTATCTAATTCTGTTCTTATCTATCTATCTATCTATCTATCTACCCCATTCTGTTCTTCTATCTAATTCTGTTCTTATCTATCTATCTATCTACCTCATTCTGTTCTTCTATCTAATTCTGTTCTTATGTATCTATCTATCTATCTATCTATCTCTGTTGTTATCTATCTATCTATTCATATCTATCTCATTTTGTTCTTATCTGATTATCTCATTCTGTTCTTTAGCTATTGCATTCTGTCCTTATCTATATATCTATATATCTATCTATCTAGCTATTTATCTATCTATCGCATTCTGTTCTTATCTATCTCATTCTATTCATCTATCCTTGTTTAGAAGATTATGCGCGCGAAACCGCAAATTTTGTGTGTGCGTGTGTATCGTTATGATTATTTCATCTTTCTCTTTCTCCAAGACGAAGAATCTTTTTTTAATGCTCAGTTATTTTGTCCATTTTGTAAACGGAAACAAAAAAGATTTTTCAAAATAGAAATTTAAAAAACAAAAACAAAAGAGAATACAGTACATTGAAGCCGAGAAACAAGTAACCACAGAATAGAGAGAATTGGCGCGGGGTGAGAACAGGAAATATATTTTTTAAAAGTAAAATAAAATAAAATAAAATAAAATAAACTCGTTGTCCCGTTTGGAAGAAGACAGCGTAGAAGTTTAAAAACACATGACTCATATCATAAATTGGCTATAATGAAAGGTTTGGCCGTACACGCCAGATCGAGTTATTTTTTTATTTTTATTTTTTTTTCCTTTTTTACCCCGCAGTTCCCCGATCCCCTTGCCTGACCAATCCGAAAAAAAAAAATACAGAAAAGTAGGTAAAGGATTAAAGTTTAAACTAAAAAGTGAACTCTGGTGTGCGGAGTGTCATTTTTTTCTCACTTTCGCATCTTTAACGATTTTAATTCCAAGGGTTTTTACAACCTTTCACAGTGACGGTTGACAACTCGATAATCTTTTCTCGAACTCTTAGCACGTCAAGCACCTGCTTTTTTTTTTTCTCTACCATCAGCCCTGTTTGCCCCAGCACCATTTACGACCAATATCCCTTCTCCGATACTCCTCCTACTACTACTACTACTACTATTAACAGTAATACGAAATATTTATCACTACTACTATTGGTACTACCATTAATACGATCTGAGTCGACACCAGGTGGACAGTGGCATATACTCCTTAAAGGTAAATAGCAAAAAAAAAAGCTCTTTCTTTTTTCTTCATCGCTTCCACGCCCCCTCTCTCTCTCTCCTTCATAATAATAAATGAAATGTGTATGTGTGTGTAGCAGCAGCTTTTCCTTGATATATGTATGTTTCATTAAAAACTATCAACCATATTTTTTGTATATGTGTGTGTGTCTATGCGACATGATCTATTCTTAATTACACTATTTATTGAGTATTGAATATCTCGTAGGTGAAAAGACCCACAACCGTTGACTTCACTTTACGTAATTACTGCTGCAAACTTATTCATTTTTTTTTTTTAACGTGTATAATGAAAAAAAAAGTGTTTTGTCCTAGCTAAGAAGCATTTTATTCGTCTGTATTTTTCTTTTTTCCTCTATCTTTTCGCTCTTTTAGATTTTTAAATCTCAAAGTATCATTGCGTCAAGTTCAGGCTACCCGCTACAAGTGAGTGATACCCAACGGACATGCTACTAATTACGGTTCCGTTAAGCTCACTTGCTTTTGTAACTATTAGACCGTCGCTGGGCTATCTATCTCAGTCTGTTTCTCTCTATCTCTCTATCTATCTATCTATCTATCTATCTGTGTTTGTATTCCTCTCTAAACCGTGTCTTCTACACACTTTGGTCTTACTCTAGTGTAACTTCCTTTTTGTGTTTGTTGACAGAAGTAAATTCACATCTTTTATGGAAAAAGAAAGCGGAAGGGACAATAATGCGGGGGTGGAGGAAGTGTTGGAGGAGAAGGGGAAGGGGCGGCTATGTAAGTACATACATACATACATACATACAGACAGACAAACAGACAGAAGTCAAAAGAGAGATTCAGGAAGGAAAATAAGGTGTGAAAATTTTTAGCTAGATACAAAAAAAAATGCGGACGTATCTGTGCACCTTCATAACGAATAGCACATCCTAGAAACGTAACGAAATGTTTATCACGGTGGGGTGGGGGGATACAGAATTCTTCAACTGATTTGCCTACAATATACAACACTCAGTGTACGTACACAAGGTGGAATTTGAATTTATGAAAATTGTCCATCGGGATATGTGTGTGTGTGTGTGCGCGCGCGTGTGTTTATTTCATCTCAGTGGTTTTAAAAGTTTAGTCAAAATTATTGAGATTATTGAATTTTCATATAGTATTACACGATTCAGTTATATCTGCTCGAGTTCAGACAAGAAAAAAAAAGTCAGAATTTCGAATAATAATTTTCAGAACGAACGCAAAATCAGGAATAACCCAAAATCGGACTGTAAATAGTAAACAATAAGCTTCCAATGTTTCAAACCCTAGCGTACGTCATAATTGTATTTCAAACAACTACTCTAATTCTAAAAAAAATAACCCATTCTACAGGCCAGTTTCTGTACAGTGCGTTTATTTTCTCAAAACATCTTTGCAAAAACACGCATGCGTAGTCATGCGGCAAAAGTGTCGTTTTCGCTTTATTAAAGCTCACGAAAGCAACATACACTTTACTTTCCTATTTCTTAAACTTATTATTATTGAATTTTCGCTAACATTATGCCTTCCAGGCATTTTTTAAAGGATCTGGAATACTAAGGTATGTAATTCAAATATTCTTATTAAAGTAGATTATTTATGGTGTGAGTAAACTGGGATTTCAAATCGGGTTTTGTTTCGACTGGTATAATATACAATTAAAATTTCAGCAAATTTTCTAAATTGTCTTTTACCTACTTAAAAGACGAGAGAGAGAGCATAAGCTTTCTTTTCCGATATATAATATTTGACACACGCACATAGCGTATCTCATTCTATGTGCATTACAGATCTTTATTAGTTTATATTTTTACTTACGTGCGCAAGTACAAATCTACGCACACCTTTTTGTGCATAATACTTTTTTCTTTGCTACATTGTCATTCCTTTTTTTCATTCGTAAAAAAATTATATGTATGTGTATGCGCTATATATGTGTACACAGACATACACACACACAGAGTTAGTTACTTATCTTATAATTTTTATCTATCTTGTCCTTTAAAAATATCATCCATTGAGAGATTCTTAGAGGATTTTTCTTGTCAATGCTACTTTGCTCATGCAAAAATTACATTAGGTTTGTTGAATTATTACATATTATTATTAAGATTCCTAACAGTAACAACACCAAACTTGTATCTATCTGCCTGTCTATCTATCTATCTATCCATCTATCTATCTATCGTATTCTGTCTTTATTTTTCTATCTCTAAATTCTCTATCTATCCATCTATCTATCTGGGCCTGTTTTGTTGCGCGGGTAATTTGTATCGGCACTTGTTCGTGCCTGGATAAAAAGGGGTTTTCTAATAAATGTTGATATTTTCAAAAAAATATAAATAATCTCCAGTAAAAGACTGGCACTACACGACCATGTTATCCACCCGTGAGTACACATATGTAAATAAAAATAAGGGTTTTTTTTACGCGTATTACAAAAAAATAAATAAATAAAAATAAAAAAAAGGAATCAGAATACACTACACATTATATTTGATTTTGAACATCATACATTCCATCAATCTTTATCCGTCTCTATCTCTCTCTCTCAAGTGCAAAATACAAACATGTTACTCTTCTTATCCATATAAATGGAATACTACTCACACACACACACACACATTATGTGCGCGTGTTAATTACATTTAAAGATAAGTACACATATCGTTAATCTCGAACGTTAGTACACACCTACCTACATCCAAAGCTTTTTAAAACCATTTTCTTTACCTAAACTACTTATATTTAGCTAGCTACCATAACTTAGAAAACATTCAAATATTTCCATAATGTAGATTGTAGATGAATGTATTTACAAAGAGACTGTAACACTGTTCAGTAGATTTTTTACTAAGTACCTTTCTCCAACCATTGCTTTAAATTTTTTAAAGCAATAATAAACACGCCATTGTTAATTATATATATATATATATATATATATATATATATATATATATATATACTGTGTGTGTGTGTGTGTGTGCGTGGTCGGGACTGTTCTCAATTCGTTATGGTAAGTGTACTGAACTGAGGGTGGACAACTGAAGAAAAAAAGAAGAAGAAAAAACGATTTAGTTAGAATTATTCGTTAAGCATGTTCCTCCTCGTCTACAAGAATTTTTTTTCCTGTATGTTTGCCATTATTCGTATTCTTCTTTCAAGTCTCTGACTTGGTATTTTTTAAATGTTTCTTCTTTCATCTTGAAGAACATTTTGCATATCGCTCTATCCCGTTCAAATATCTATCTATCTATCTATCTATCTCGCGGCCTGTTCGTAAATATGTAGCTAACTTGCTATCCTCATCTTTTTACCTTTTTTATCTATCTATCTAGCTGACTATCCTTGTCTTTTTTTTTTATCTATCTCTAGCTGACTATCCTTGTCATTTTATCTATCTATCTATCTATCCATCTAGCTGACTATCCTTGTCTTTTTATCTATCTATCTATCTATACTAATCTATCTATCCATGCTTTCTTACTAATGTTCCTTTCTCTCTTGTCTATGATCGTCCTCTCTCTCTCTCTCTCTCTCTCGTTCGCTATTTTTCATTATACTGACCTACCTGTCTACCTCTTTAACTTTAAATCATTTTAAATTTCTTAATTTGACTGACAGTTTATTCCGATAAACACTTTTCATAATTTTGTCCAATAAGATTACCTTTTCAACCACCTTTTCTGCACTGTCCTACACCTTGTTGCACTTTTACAATACGTAGGTACTCTACTGCAGTTAATAAATAAATCCTGTTTAGCTATGTTTTTTTTGTGGGACCGACCCAGCTTTGAACACGTATTTTTAGATCTGTGACACATATAATTATATAAACACTGTAAAAAAAAATACTGTATTTACAATGCATAACGAAATGTTCTTTTCCTTGTAATTAACACTTTTGGGGGGTAAAAATACATTTAAGTTTAGATTTCATTGATCTTAAAACGAATTCAGAAATTATCGAAAGCAGCTTTTTATCCACCATACATTCTTATTCTTAAAGTCTTATATATATTTCTTTTTTGGTATTAGCGAATGTGGTCACGTGATCAACTACTTCTCCGTCCCGTGTTTAATACCAAAATTATGCTTGCAAACAAAAAAAAAAAAAAAAACATTACAGATGGAAGAAAGATTTCACACTGTTGTTAGGTGGTTCAGGTTTTGCAATGAAAAACGTTCATCGTTTAATTATTTTGCGAAATTTTATAATAAAAAAATAAATATTTATTTTTCTCTCATGACTGTGTGTACTACGTGTATTCGATTTGGCTTGGGTTACGGCCTTGAAGATTAAAAAAGAAACCATTTATCGCCAGGTATTTTGAAATATATATTTAGAATGAGACATCAGAATTCATAGTGAAACCACCCTGTCTTTCTGAAAACAAAAATGGGTTCGAAATTTATGAACGAAAAGAAAAAATAATTCTTAAAGGTTAAATAAAACAAAACAGGTTTACTCAATATAAACTACTCTAAAAGACTTGAAAATATTCGCAGTTATTAACGATTACGTCTCTAAGAAGTCTGGAAAATTTTAAAAAATAGAACAATAATAATAATAACTGAAGAATATTATTGAGGATATTTGTTGTCACTTGATCTCCAGCGAAAGCCGTCGATAAGCTAAAAAGACACTTTATGAAAATTAACAAATGACAATAAGTCTAAAAAAAAAAAAATGAATGCTTCTAATCTACAACAATGCAGTAACTGCTGTTTTTTGGGGTTTTTTTTAACATTATGAAAATTATTAAAAAATAGCACCTACCATCTTAATAATTCTATACTGTGACTTGGAAAAAAAAAAAAAAAATCCAAGAAATTCTAGGCATATTTTAGTCTGAAAGAAAACAAAGTTTCCATTATTTTCAATTTCAGAGAATCTACAGAAAGGCTGAGAAAACGGTAAAGAATGTAGTTCTTAGAATTAGAGTTAAAAAAATATTCCCCAAGGTGGGAAACTGCCGAAATAGTTGGGTCGGGCGTAATTTTTTTTTTTTTTTTTTTTAAAAAAAGGAAAAAAAAAATGGCACTTGAAAAAGCAAAGTAAAGAAACAAACAAATAAAAAAAAATCACTTTATAAAAAGTTTATGACTTGACCTTATTCTTTGGCTAAAATGGGAAATATTTAAATATTTTTTTTAAGCCTTCTCAACAAAAACACTGGCGGCATTGTGATTTACGGAGGTAGGCGTCCCTAAGTGCTCTGAATATCAGAATTTAAGTTCATAATACTTATCGGAGGTCGACTCGGAGTTTTGTGATTTCTCATTCGTCATGACTCAAATAAGAATTGTGATCTTAAATTACTTCTAATACAATAATAATTATTACTCTAAATTACAGTTGAGTACGTTATTGGCACAAAATTCTGATATACGTTGGAAATTACTCGTTATGTGACATTGCTTAGACAGAAAGAACATTTTTAATACTAAAACTGTTTTAAAAAGTTAGTGTTTTAAATACTCTAACTCTTTTCTCTTTTGTTTAGTTCCTTCATTCTCTTAATTTTTTTTTTTTAACTTTTTGTATTTGTAGATTTATTTGTTCAGCGAAAAGACTATTACTAATGCTGTCAAAACTTCTGAATAAGTCTTTCGACCCATGTCAACAAAGTCAAAACGGAAAAGAAAAAATAAAAGGGAGAAAGAAAAGAAAAAAGAAAAATGAAAATTAGGTCCTCCTAGAGAAAGAAGGTCTATATGTGTTTTATGTCATTATTGTGCATGTGTATGTGAACACACACAGATACATACACTCACACACATATGTAACATGCAATTTAATTTATTATGCGTGTAAGAGAGAATGCATTCGTTACATGTGTATTTACACGCACACACTTACTACTACTACTACTACTGCTACAACTTTTACTAATAGGATAGTACCCGTCAAAAATAACTGAATGACGCGGTGTTCTGTTTATATTTTTTTCGGACATTTCATGGATCCACAACGAGGAAGCAGCATTAAACCCTCCCCCCTCCCCGCTTTCCAATGCCACCGAAGGAAAAAGGCCGGAGTACTTTGATGACCGCATGAGAGTGGTCGTGAAGAGAGGGCAATGTTTACTGTCAGGGCGCCCCACGTGAAGCCAACCATGTGCAGATACAGTATACTTCCTACCACCATAGCTTCAGTTGAGTGCGTACTTTTTAGTTTAATACAAGATCAGCGTATAGTATCTGGAAGAGTGCTACAAAAAATATTTTACACACTCGTTTTATTATGTGTAAATTATTATCAGTAGTAGTAGTATTTAGTTAGTATTATTTAGTAAGAGATAAGCATCCCATTTTTTTTTAATCAATTCGTTCCAGTCAAGGCGATAATTCCACTAAGATGCGAGGCGGGGTGCTACCCATACCGTGAGTGAAAGATAACGAGAAGACTTTACTTACAAGGAACTGGAAACCCAACCCTAAAAATGTAAACAAAAAAAAAAAAAAAAAAACTCTACTCCTGTTCAAAAGACCTGGGAGGAGCGTGACCTAAGACTCATCCTGACATGTATACCAGGCACATGTTACATGTATCACAGCCAAATATGCGCGATTTCTTGACAAATTTTGATAAAAAATATTAGCATATAATTTTGAAGGTGGGAGAGTGAGAAATACCTTCCCTTCGAGTAATCGAGTCCACTTACAGTTTTTGATTGAATCTTTTCCCGAATATCTATGATTCCAAAGTCGCCTTGGATGCCTCATCCTCCAAACTTTATATATATATAAATATATATATATATAACTCTCAACGTCCGGCTATCTCCCTCTATTGTTGCTCAGGAACAGATGCGCAGTGCGTTAGACTATGCCCAGCTGGTTACGGTCAGGCAACTGACAAGCAAATCGGTGGTACTGAACCGGATATTTACTGTGGCCTATCTTTAAGAAATAAAGCATGTACAATCAATTAAGATCAGAAACCATGATATAACATCAAGGCATTTATCATTATTATTGTGTGTGGTATCATCTTCTTGTTAGAGAGTAATTTTAAGTGCCTAATTACCAAGTCCCCTCCGGGGGCCATGAGTTAAAGGGCACCGTAGGAGAGCTATCCATGTACATTTGGGACGTTTCGTTTATGGAGAGGGTTTTTTTGCATTGAGGGATTATTATTATTATTATTATTATTATTATGTGAATTTCTTTGATATGCATGTCTGTCTTTTTCTGATCATTAATAAATAAAAAGTTTAAAATTATATCTACCTACACAAGGAAAATTTCGTATGATTTTTTTATCGTGGTTGGGTGATTTACAAGTTGCTGCTGGGTTGGTTGAATTTTGCAACGAAGTATCTACAGATGGATAGGAAGCTTTTTTAAAAAATATATTCCTACATTTATTTTTTAACGTCGATTGATCATGTGTTTTTGTACGTGATTGACCAATATCACCTTTTTATCTTGTAAATGAACGTAGTCGGTTTCATGCAATTTATAAATTCACAAGTTGTCAATGAATGTAGAAAAAAATGGTCAAATCAACATATGTGTAACTAGGCTAACACTATGTCATAGATGTATTATTAATTTAACTATTAAAACAAAATAAATCATGGCTATGTATTTATAAGTTTGCCCAGAGAATGTTTGTATTTCTCTATTAATTTTTTAAGTTAAAAATTTTAACGTAAGTTTTTGCATGTGCGTATGTATAAGATATGATCGTATTCAGTCGTTTTAGTTGTTTATTTGATAATTCGAAGTTTGGCGTGGTTTTTTTTACGTATGTATGTATTGTATAGAAATATATTGTATAGAAATTCGCTTTTAAAAAATACGCCTTAAAGCAAATATCTTAATGGGAAAACAATAATATAAACAGCTGTTTGTTCAAATATCTATCTACACTTTGGCTTAAAAAAACCTAGAATTCAACAAACAAATATCCACTTAACAGCTTAAAAACGGAAATTACAAAATTTAAAAGAATGTATGCATTATGCTAATTTATTATTGAACTCTGTTTTAATTGTCTAAAATAGATTTTTTTGGTGTTTAACTAAAATCCTTAAACTTTAAGCTGAAAATGAGCTATTCAAATTCTCTACGATTTCTGAAAGTTTTATTTAAAAAATAATTTTATATGTATATGAAAAAATTCTAAGAATTTTAAAATTTATTATAAATTTGAATTTTATAATCCAATAGTTTTTCATTACACTTTAAATTTAATATCAAGATTTAAAAATAACTTATTTCCAAAATGTTAAATTACTTACATCACAGAAATTTAAGATCTTTAAAGCAAGCAAAATGTTGTAAGAGTTTATAAACTAAAATTTTATACATTAAAACATGAAAATAAAATATATATGTTTATATCTTAAACTAGAAAGAATTGATTCCTTGTCGTTGAAAATGTATATTCATATAACTGCTTCTATATTGAAATTCAAATATATATATATATATATATATATATATATATATATATATATATGTATGTATGTATATATACTAATAAATAAAATGAAATTTTCAATTATCTTGTCCCTACTTAGAATTCTGACAAGTGGATGTAATCTCCACAAAAGTCAGATAGGTGACAAGGTAAGTAACCGTTTAATCAA